CAACGGTCAAGATTAATGTGACCACCAAAAGTAAATAGCAACATTTTATACTTTTCCCTTATTTTAAATAGGACTCATCCCTTTCCTCGTACCTCTATTGATATTGGTGAGTGGCTTTCACACTTGTATGGCCAGATCTTACCTTCTATAACCGTCCCTAATCAAAGGTTATTATTTGTCTACAACTCCCATTTTCCACAAGACAATCAAGTATATATAGAGGAACCCCACTAGAATTTTGTTCATAGAAAATGGAGAGAGGGGGCCTATATTCACATGCTCTTGGTGTGTGAACACTAGAGGTGCACTTCACCACAGTCACATCAGGGCATGTGCTTTCGTCATTTATCAACCAGTAGTAATGGAATGGGCAACGGCTACGGCCAATTGTTAGCCACAGTTAAGGGTGTGGAGCGCCTTGGCCTAATGGGGTTGGCCACAGTTATGGCCGATGGTTAGAGCATAGAGCATAGGACAGATCAGCCTCGACTCTGGTCTCACCACGGTTATCCGAATTATTCGATTCGAATTGGAATTGTGAACATGACTTGAGCCTTTGTTATGGATTGGCCATAAGTATGGCTACGCGCGAAGGCTTTAGGCAGTACTGTGTTTCACCACTGTTACAAGACATTTGAGTCACGACAATTGGCCAAGGTTGAGGGTTGGAGAGCAATAACAGTCGAAAGTCTTGTTGGTTGCGATTATGGACATGAAACTTTAGATAACAAACGATTGACTGTTGGCAACTCGAATTCATGAACAGTTGTGGCTATTAACAAAAGTTTAATGTTGAAAGAGAGAAGTGATTAGTCACATTGAATACAAAAAAAAAAGAAGTAAGTCGGTGAAAATTTGGGCTCCAACCCCTTTGATGAACTTCATCATAAAGCTCATTGGTACTACCACCAAAATGCCAGTCCATTGAACAAAGAAGTTTCAAATCGCGCCAATCCATGGAGCAAAGAAGTTTCAAATTGTGGAAAAGATATACATACCCTATATGTAAGTCTCAAACCCCTCTTACAGAAACACTGGATTTGTGGCACTTTCTCTTTCCTCACTCTTTTTTCCATCAGAAGAAAGGTAATCTCTAGCATCATTGTTTGTGTCCATTAGAACATCGCCGGTAAAAGAATCTTTTAATCCACAACAGAGACCATCCGATTTCGAATCTTTTAATCCACAACATAGACCATCCGATTTTTGGAATGCCAAGCATGAACGTTTAAAAAACCAGTATATAATTACGCTTTCAAGAAAGTACTCAGGTGGAGACTAAAAGTAGATCTCCAAATTTAAGGTAAAAAATTTACGTAAGGTTACAATCTTATATTACTGAAGTAAGATGCACCTCCAAAATCCTCTAGAAGTGAATGTTCTAGACATTGAAGAACCCTCCAATTGATTATCTCAACCTCGAAATATGTGGATATGAAGGAAAAAAAGAATTGCAAGCTATAAAAATAGTGCATTTTACAACTGGTTTTTTCGACCCTTTATTTTCAAAATTTTCAAGTGTTTATAGATCTAATCTTTTGTTCTACTTTTGAATTTTTAAATTTCATAACAAGGTATAAAAATAGATTTTCAAGCCATGATAAGATTTTCAACATCTAACTACATCACCAAGCAAATTTTAGATGCATGCTTACTTCTATAACATAAGGAAAGTACCTTATACAAACCTAACCGAAATTTACGATCTGCTAAATACTCGTACAAGGAGGTATTTTGCCCTAGGGGCCCAGCATACTACACGCGCAACATGTAGTCCATACAAAGGGCTACTTTGACCTAGCAAGTGCTCTAAACCATAGAATCTTGTTTTCATCCTTGAAACGAAGAGAGTATATTTTACACAACAAAAATCAGAATCCATTGACATACTTTCACTATCGGAAATAGTATTGAAAAGCTCTTTAAAATTTCAGAAACACGCCCCACATTATTTAAACAAAAAAACTGGGGGTAATTGTCACAAATATTCCTTTTCTTCTAGAAATTTGAAACAATACCCAAAATTTTTAAGATCTACATCCATGCCCCTTTGTTTCCAATGTTTATTCATTTTTACCTAAAATGCTCTCAACAGGCATGTTAGGGCCATGGAAAGCTATGGTCCATGGACTAGGCTATCATAGTCAAGATCCCTTTGTGTTATACATCTTAAAAGGACCAACAAATTAGAACCATGATATAGCATCACGTTTATAACAGAATCATGATAAACCATCTCAGTACTAATAGAACCGTGATGGTCCGCTCACTCCACTTCACCCACACTTCTACTAGAAACCATCGCAGTTTTATTAGAACAGTGATGGATTATCACCATTGTAAAAGAAAAAGGGAATAATTACTTTTTTTATAATTACTTTTAAAAAAGAAGGGTAAAGCAATTCCAATAAATCAGAGACCCACACTCCCTCCCTCCCTCCCTCAACTTCTCACTTTCCCTTGGCCAGAAACAAAGAAAAGGTGACCCAACAATGACCAAAAACGGCAGCACAACCAAAAACCATGCCTGCCTGCATCTTCTTACTTTATTAGGGCCTTGGGTTAAGGACATGGGTTGATGGTTTGGTCCATCTTCTCACTTCTAAAGGAGTATGGAGTTTATAGATCTTTTTAGACTCGTTCTAGTTTTGCTAACTTTTCCAAGACCAATGCTGTTTTAGTGGTGGTCCATTAATAAATGTAGTGTCATCATTTGTTAAAATTTTGGCATATTACCACCATGGAGTAAAATATCGACCAGATCCAACATTCAAGGGCAAGTATTTGATCAATAACATTTCACTACCAGCTTTCTTAGAATCAAATTTTATCCAAATAGGCTCTATTATGCAAGTATTAATTATTCAAAGGTGAGGGCTCTAGAACTTCAATTACATTCCAACACTTCAACAGTCAATATGAGTGACCTGTAAAAGAAACTTTTCCCAAAAAATGATAAATCAAATGAAAGGGGTTGATCAAGGAAATGAAGAAAACATTAATGAGATCCCCAAAGCCCAAACTATTTGTACCAATCTGAGTGTTTCTTGATTAGTTACTATCCTCAATGGAACCAATCTAGTGAAAAGGAACTACAGTTCATAACAAGGGGGCGTAGAATGAGCCTGCACAAGGGTCAAACCTCATCATTTGTCAGCCTTGATGAATCTAGATAGGAAGAGTTCTAAACTCAGAAAGAATCCATTCTCCTTTACATAACTCAACCCTTAATTTGTAAGGTAATGTACAAGGAAGACTGGTCTATGCGGTCAAGAATCATGAGGATTGGGAGTCTTTTTTTCCCTTACAAGACTGTCGCAGAGGAACTCTCATGTAGAGCATATGCATCCTAATATAAATCACCAATAAATCATATGAGGTAAAATACTTGGTGCTTGAAGAAAATGATCGCAATAACATTTTTTCAGAATTGAGAATTCCCTGTTAATAAGAGGCTCTCACATGAAAGCAACCACTGTTAAGCAATAATTAAACATGTTACCGTTTGCACAATAATCTCGACAAGGCATGGCTAGCACTAAGCTATTATTCCTATAATTTTTTGTTTAGATAATTCTCCGACCTTTCTTTGCAGTAGGCATCATATGTAAGATATGGTACATGTAATTTTGAGTTATATATGACAATGTTCAAAGGCATGTCTGATCAGGAAACTTCTACAGATAGCATGCACCATCTTCTAGACTTATGTTTGCCAACATCCTCCAATCATCAAGGAGATGGAAAGTTCTATCACATCTGGCTATACGGATTGACTAGATGTTTACCTATGACCCAATATTGTTCTTTAAAAACCCTCAAGGTGGATTTCGACAAGACGCCAAACTGGATGTCGGGCAAATAGATCAAAACAATAGTCCAACACGAAATAAAGAACTAATGTAGCTCTCTAGAATTAGTAAACTAGAATCACCAATACACAAATATACAAACATACACAAGTATAAACATATAGATATACTTTTTGGCTAGACATAAGTAGATCCATGCATCTACATCTATGGATCTACAGGTCCAATAGGCTGACGACGCCCAAAAAGGGGAATGTTAGATTGATTTGATTCGAGCGACAAATTCCATGTTTGGATCCATACCTCTCTAAAAACCAGGTAACCCTCCACTAAAGCTCGTATGCATATTTACATGTAGGTATTTTCATATGCATACCCATGTGCATGTATGAGTATAGGTATAAGGATGTATCCATGCAGCGTAACAAACTGTTTGTCACAGAAAACAATACAGTCCAGATAAATTTCCTAATACAACAGCCATTTGTTGTCCTCTATTTTTCTGAAACAATAGAGTAGTGTACTTCTTTTATTACGTAAATTGCATTTTTTTTTTAAGTTTAAATAGCATTTGTGACTACAGCTCACAACGTTGGACAAAGTTAATTGGCATGCCACATAGAGGGCACTGAACCATAATGAGACTCATAATTGATATGACATATCACTTGATCGGGGTATTTGCACTCATCAACAAATCATTTGAATTGTATCAGTCCCTTGAAATTTATCTAAGACGGCAACTAAGATATTCCATGCACAACAGGAACAAGCAATGGAGAACAGAAACAATACATACAGAAAAAAAGAATTCCCATAATCTCAATCTTTGCATGAAATTGAAAACCATTAACTACTACAACATTCTTTTGTGCTCAGTCACTAATTTGGAATACAAAGAGTTCACAACACAAATTTGAGACTTTGAGACTGGTATTCTAATTGTCTTTGGGACAAAAAATTAACAAGAGCATGTGTCCACCTAATCTTACATTCCTACTTCCCTTCATTGGAATGAGAAGCCCCTTTTTAAGCCAAATAATGGTTCTCTCTACTCCTATATGGGGCCTATGTACAAGTCAAAAAAATTATGCAAACTTATTTAATCCCATTTATAAGTTTCTGCAACAATTGTGAGGTTATGGTAATAGCAATAATCCAGGCTACCCATTGGTCATCCAGAAAAGGAACGAAAATTTAATGAAATCCACCACTAAATTACATTTAATAGGAATGGCCTAAAACAAGAGCCAATTCCTAAATAGAAATATCAAGTCAAACATACATAAGTCAAGGGAGCACAGAATGAAGAGCGCCAAGCTCAATAAGTAATTTTTCGAGTTTTGAGAGTGTCTTGCTCATCCAAACTGTCCTTGAGAATCAAAACAGGAGTACTTTTGGCTCTTAAAGTAAATCAAAGCATCACAGGCAACAAGTCTTAACGGAAACAGGCAAGTGAAGAGAAAACATTAAATTAAAGTACCAATCTTCTAGTAGCAAACTCTGCAATGAGCATCAGCAACAGAGCACGCCAATTGAAGAAAAACAAGCACTGTTTCCTTGTTTCTTCTCGACCTGTAAATAGGTTCTCTCTCATCATAAAACTTGTCTGTAAAAACTCATGAATAATTCAAAGAGACATTCTAATGCAAGAGAAAAACCTGACCCCCAGAGCATCATCAAATAAATGAAAGGAACAATTTGGTTAAAAGTGAAAACGAAAAACCCATCAAGAAAAACACAACTAAACAGTAATCAATGCTAGAGTGAGAAATCTAAAGCTAATAAAACATGAAAACAGGGCTCTGAGAGAGTGAAATTGAAATGCAAATAAAACAAGAACAAAGGATATAGAAAGAGATTGTAAGGACATATATCCAGAGCAGATGTTACAGAGAGAGAAAGAAGAGGATATACAGAGAAGTTGAAAGCAAGTAGATCAAGAAAAGGTTTAGAGAGAGACCAGTTGAAAGCAAATAAGATAAGAAGAGGAGGTATAGTGGAGAACATGAAGCACATAAAGCAACACCAGAGACTAGAAAGAGAGAGCGAGGAGAGATAATTGAGGCATACCCGAAGAAAGTTCTAGGCTCTCAAGGGTGGCGAGAAGTCGAGGCAGCAGCCGACGTTTCAGTAACACCGTCATGCTCCTCTTCTTCACCCTGAATTCGCGCTGGGATCCTGAAACCAGAGAACCCACCAGAAGAAAAACCCGATGACACCATAGGCATATCTGAAGCCATCTGGTTGTTCACAGGAGGCAACTCTCTGGCGCGAATAGGGAGATAGTGACTGGACTGAAGGGGTCCCCTCTGTTTGGTGAAGGAGCTATGGTGACCAAAGCTCGGTATAATTGGTGACTGGTTACTGTTAAACACATCTCTTGAATTCACAAACCCAATAGATGAAGAAGAAGATGATGATGGGTCTGAATTCCAAGCCACCACTCTCTGAAACCGAGCAGCCCCAAACTCCGGGTGGTGCTGTTCTGACCAGAACAAGCCCTGTTCTCCATGAATTGGAAGTGGATTTTCATTGGAGAATCGGAAAATTCCAGCTTGTAAAGCCGGGTTCTGAGCCGGTGGTTGAATAAGGATTGGGTGCATTTGCTGGTGATGGGGGTCATGAAGGGATTGTAGAGAGAGACGAAGTTCCTGGCTGTTGCTTCTAGAGAGAAGATCAGGTGGGTAGTTTTGGACCTGGTTCAAGAACCCAACTGATGAAGAAGAAGCAGAGGAAGAAAAGGGTTTCATGGTTTCGGTCTCCATAGGAGGGAGCAAGAAACTGGAAGGTGGGTTTGATTGGGCAGCAATACTAGTAGAATGGGAATGAGAGAGGTTTTGGGTGATGGTTTTTGGACTCGAGCTCGACCTGGCTCTGGTTTTGGTTACAGATGGCTCTGCAACTTCTTTGTTGTGTGGGTTTTGGAGGTTGGCTGCGGTGGGCTGCCAAGCAGGGAGCTCAGCAAGCTCATCAATGGCTGGTTTGGCCTTCTTGATGAGCCAATCCACTGCTTTACTGGGCCTATCATAGCCAAGCCTATCTTGAACATCATAGAATTGGATTGCAGTGTGAGCAGAGAGCCTAACCCTTCGATCTCGTGGTCCCTTTGCCGTGCAAACCTTACTGTGTCGATCTTTTCGACCAGTCGATCGAACAATGTGGCCCCCTTCAACCTCCACGATCTCTCCTACTGTGTTCCCTCCTCTTCTCTCTCCCATTCTCTCACTAAACCACGCATGTTCTTCTGTCTCTACAATGGCAGCAGTGGAAGCACCAGCAAAGGAAGCTCTCTTCTTGGATATCTCGGGGCTCGACTCTTCGGGAAAATTTGGAGCTTGGGGAGATGGGTGGGTCTGTTGAATCTGTTTCCCCAAAGCCCTCTTTGAACTGGTTTCCAGTTTTTTTTTTCTTCCTCTTCAACCTACTGCTCTTCTTCTTAGTCTCTCTCTTCCTGTGTCCTTCTTTGCTCCAACACCTGGTGCCTCTTGTGGGTGAAAGTGCCATCAATCAGGTTCTCCAATTCCATTACCCAAATCCTCTGTAGGAGAGGAGCAATGCCAGAGAAAGTTAGAGAGAGAAAATAAGAAGCAACGGCAGTTCAGCCCATGCCTGAAAGATCTCAGCTTGGGTTGTTAAAGGAAAGGGGCCTGGCAATACTGACTGTGGCTCATTCTATAGAGATAGAAAGAGGAGAGAGAGAGACAGAGAGTATGTGTGAATTAACCGAGGTATGCGTGCCCCAAGGAGCAGAGAAGGCAGCTGCCGCTGCCCATGTCTGGAGTGTGGATGAGAAGTAAACCCCACAAGGGGTTTGGAGACTGTTATCAGAGACAGAGAGGACAGGGGAGGGGAGAAGGAGATGGGAATTGAGTGTTGGGTTTCTAGAGGAGAGAGAAGAAGAAAGATAGGGATGATATGAATGTTGGGCTTTCAGAGGAGAGAGGAAATATTCGGTTTTTGTGTGGGGGAAAAGAGAGAGAGATGGAAATGAATGTTTTGTTCTGAGAGAGAGAGAAGGGTGGGGGGTCAATGAAAGCAGGGGCTTTCAGTGTGGGATGGTACCTTCCATCAAGGAAGAGACTGAGAAATCAGAAACCCCATAAAAGAGTGAGTGAGAAGTGAAGTTGCAGCAATTAAAAGAGGGGAAAAGAAGAGGGAGGGAGGGTAAGGAAGGGGAACTACAATTCCCTTTCCCCTCCCACCAATCCAAATAGAGTCTTAAAAGATAGGAGATGAATTTTGCACAAAGCCCACAACCCAAAAAGACCACCTCTCTCTCTCTCTCTCTCCCCTCTTCTCTATGAAGAAAGATGATTTTCAGCACAACCCGAGACCCCACTTCCCTCTTCCTCTCTCTCAATATGATTTCCAGCACAACCCAAGACCCCACTTCTCTCTCTCTCTCCCACCCAACGCACTCAACTCTCAACCTCTGACTCACTCACTCTCTCTCTCTAAAATGAAAATCAAAAACATTAATTTTCTCTCTCTATATATATAAACCACCAGTATTCTCTCGCCTCCTTAACTGTGGTACTTTCCTTTAAGCCTTGACGATAAGCTTGGGTTCTCAAACCTTCCCTGCCACCCCTGCCCTTTCCCATGGGGCCTGACCCCGCCCTCCCTGTGTACTACAGCTTTTGAGTACTGCCCCGCCATCTTTTCATTTTCCTCATCACTATTTAGTTTGATCATTTCATGATAGTTGCCATTCTGGATTTTTTCTGCCTCTAACGACTAAAATGCCCTCAATTTGATCGCTAAATGACGGACCACGCCATCTGTTTCTCTCTCTCAGTTCTTCAATTTCACCCACAATCCATTTAGTCTTAACTTTTAAGGGTCGCGATGGCCCTAAAATAAATAAGGGCAAATGTGGCCCAAGGGCCGGCCATGGACGGGCTTGGTCTCGGAATTGGCCTGGCTTTGATAGGTTTAGGGGCTACATCCCTTTTGGCCTGTCAAGGCTAGGCCAGGCTTAACCCGGTCCAACCCTATAGGAATTGTATCGGGCATGTTGTTGGGCCTGTTTAATTTTAAACCTGGAAGTCTTTATTTATTATTATGCGATTGTGCAAGCATTTTATTGATGTGATGACGATGACTGAGATATGCAAAGATTAGACAAGTAGATATCAGATATGGGTGTGGTTTATACGGGCTCCAAACAATCGAATTAGAATTAGAATTAGAATTAGAAAACGGTGCAGTGCAGAGAAATATGGTTTGAGTTCACATAATTGATTGAGAGGGCAACGTTGTCATTGGGTTAGAGAGAGAGAAAGAGGGATGAATGGATGATGGGAGTGGCTCCTTTTTTCGCTCTCTCCCCCTCTAAACTTTTGGTCTGGGTGGGTCTGACATAAAGGTTTGTGAGGGGTCGCTTTCCTTTATTCGCCGCCTTTTGAAGGCAGCCTCAGCACCCATTGTGGAAGCAGAAGGCAGCAGCTCTATTATTTGTTGCAGGCCTGCTGTCTCCCTTTACAGTTGTTGTTGTTGGTATTTTAACTGTTGCTCTCTCCCTCTCTCTCTCTCTACCCTTTGGTTTCTCTCACATGAGTTATCAGATGTTGAAGTAAAATGGAATCTAGGATAACCGCCCAATCATTAATCCAGCGCTTACTCCAGATGCCAATATCAATCTCCCCTTCTCTCTCTTGACGCCTCACTAGATCTGTCCTTTAAAGCCAACCCAAAGCCCCATTCAATCCTCAATCGATCGTCAGTGCAAATGGAGAACTTGTTGGGCTTGAATATTTTCTTAGATCCTCCTAAATCCTCACACCATCTGCACCTATTTTAATTGTTATTTCATTTTATGGACCCGGTTTCCATGCGACCAAGCCCGCGTATGCAGAAATGCGGGACTCTTGATAAATTTATTTTTGAGATGGATTTTAAGACTTAATTTTTAAGTATATGTAATCTATAATATGGAGATCGTGAATATGAAAAAATAAATAAATTTTAAAAACTTTAAATAATAATTTTATTTGGACATTTAGTTTCCATTGGTTTTAGATAGAACACCTATTTGCATCCATCTTACAGATAAATGCTTTACACTTCTGGACAACAAATGTAGAAATGCGGTCCAGCCTGCATGAAACAATTTTCTTTATTTCTTATAATTTTCTTTTAACCACCGATTTGGACTGATGCAATGATATGGATCATTGATCCAACGGTCTAATCATGGTTGGATCCAAGTGAAACACTAGGCCAAACTGGTGTTTTAAAACTCGAATCCAATAGGTGAATTTGCCACTAGTCTAGACCGATGAGTTACCAATTCAAACGGGCAATTCAATCGATTCTCCTAGGTGAGAACCAAACAATAAAAAAACTCAAAAAAAATAAGAAAAGTAGAATAAAAATAACTAATACATCTCTCGTTCCCTCTCAACACCTCATTGTATTTGTCTCGATAGACGATAAGATGAGAGAAAGTGGACTTAGGTGAGCTGGTCACGTGCAGTGCAAAGTACAGTACCTGTTAGGATGTGTGAATTGGTTCAAATATAAGGCTAAAAAAGGAAAATGGTAAGCATAAAATACATGGTTAGAAATAGTGAAAAAAGATACGATGACTTATGGCCTTAATGAGGGTTTGCCTTCGATAGAGCCGAACGGCAAATCAGAATTCATATAACCGACCTCAAATAGATGGGAAAAGACTCTAATGATGATGATAGGAAACTATTAAGTGTTGGGTATTATACCCATACATAAGGCCCATTAATAACAGATATTGATTTACCCTTCGTGGATGTAGGAGAAAGAGAAAAATAAGAGTTGGGTATTATACCCACAAGTGTTGGGTATTATACCCACACATAAGGCCCACTAATAACAAGACAGTCGGCTGCTCAGACTGTAACTGTTCAAATTCATTACTGCAACTGTGATCATTAACAGCGCCCAAGTAACAACAATGGTTCTTCCTCTACACAAAATCGTTCTTCTTCATTTTCGGATATAAGTAACCATTATGTCTTCTTGTGACAATTTTTCTTGGATAATAGACACAGGGGCTATAGATCATATGACTGGTAACTTACAATGTTTATCCAACCTAACTAATAATAAATAATAAAACTATAAACCATGTATCTATTGCTAATGGTTCCTTAATTCTTATCCATGATGTTGGTGAGACCAAGTTATTATCCAAGTTTCATAACTTTGAAGATTTTTTTCTGCCATTATTTTGCTCTAACTTGATGTTTGTTAATAGAATTATTCAGAGCTTGAATTGCAATGTTATTTTTTTTTCCCCAACTGTGACTTTCCAACACTGGGCCATGGGGAGGACGATTAGTGAAGGAATACTATATCATGGGCTATATTTATTCAATTAAGAGAATAAAGCTTTGACTGCCAGTCAAGATAATGTTGATATTAATAAATTATGGCATTAGAGATTTGGACACCCTTCAAATAAGTTTTAAAAATCTTAATGCCTTCTCTATCTTTAAATTCTCACTCTTGTGAAGTCTATAAATTCTCAAAACAGACAAGACTTCATTTTTAGTCTTTTATGCATGTTTCAAAGAAACCATTTTATTTGATACATTTTGATTTATGGGGACTAGCCCCAGTTAATTCTTATGCCGACTTTAAATTTTTTTTTATTTTTGTTGATGATTAGTCTCGTACTACTTGGGTATATTTAGTGAAATAAAAAACTAAAGTTTTCCTTTATGTTCAAAGAATTTTCCAAACTGATTTATATTCAATACAATGGTAAGATTATAATTTTGCAGGCTGATAATGGCACAAAGTATGTGAACAAACTTTTTCTAATCATTTATTGAATCTTGGTATTATACACCAAACATCGTGTGTTGGAACACCTTAGTAGAATAGAGTTGCTGAAAGAAAAAATAGACACTTGTTGGAAGCTACAAGGTCTTTAATGTTTCAGATGCATGCTCCAAAATTTTATTGGTCTGAAACTATCTTAATTGCTTGCTATCTGATTAACAGACTTCTAAGTAAAAATCTTACAGATAAATTTCCCCTTCAAATTTTGAAATATAGAAAATTTGTCCCATTTGTGAGTATTTAGATGTGTGGCTTATGTTCATGTGATTGGGCACAACTGAGAAAAACTTAATAAACGTTCCAGTAGATGTGTCCTTCTTGGATACTCCTCTAATCAAACTGGATAGAAATGTTATGATCCCACAACCAGAAAAATGCATATTTTAAGAGATGTTCAATTTGTTAAAACAATCATATTTTCATGAGAGATTGAAGATTAGACTCAGTGGAAGTATTCAAGAGGTGGTTTGCCTTTACCTTATATTAATATTAGTGATGTTTCTAACACACCTAGAGCAAGCCATGATGATCAAGTCGAAGCTGAATATACTTCTAAAACTCACCAAACTGGTTTAGAAGAAGAAAACTCTGACGTGGTAGTGGTCGTGGCTCACCTAATCCCCCTTGCGCAGGTCTTCTCGTATCTCTTAACTTTCATCTATACTTCAAGATTTTTATGCTTACCATGTAGTTTATTATTCTATTAAAAATCATATGTCCTATGAAAATATATCTCCTAGATATTTCCTTTTTTGAGTTATATTTCTAATAGTTATGAGCCAACCAATTTTCAAAATGTTATTTCTCAACTTGTGTGAAGGAAGGTCATGAAAGAGGAACTTAAAGTACTTGACAATAACCATACTTGGGATATTGTCAAGCTGCCTAAAGCGAAGAAAGCAGTTGAATGTATATGGGTTTATAAAATCAAATATAATCATGACTGGTCTGTTGAGAGACAATGTCAGGTTGGTGGCCAAAGGATATACCCAAATTTATGGAGTCGATTACAAAGAGACTTTTGCACTAGTTACCAAGATGAATATTATTTGTGTTACAAATGCCTTCTTACATGTTGACCTTGAAGAAAAATTCTATACGAGTCCATTGAAAAAGAAAAGGAGAATGGTCTTGTATGCAAATTAAAGAACGATATGTATGGACTTAAACAATCACTTTACGCATTGTATGTCAAACTCAACACAGCCTTGACGAGTGTCGGATTTCTTAGAAGTTCAGCGGATTCTTTGATATTCACAAAAAAGGGAAGTTCAGGTACAACAATTGTACTCATTTATGTTGACGATATTATCATTGCAGGTAATGATAAAGAAAACATCATGAAACTTAAAAATTATATTCACAAGAAATTTGACATCAAGGATCTTGATTAATTAAAATGTTTTCTCGGCATTGAAGTAGCACATTAAAAAAAGGAACTCTTCAATTCTTAAACGAAATATGTATTATATATGTTGAAAGAAATTGAAAAACTAGGAGTTAAATTCGTTGATACTCTTGTTGATATTAATTACAAACTTAATTCCACATATGGAAAACCTCTTAAAGTTGTAGGGCGCTTTGAGAGACTTGTAAGCAGATTGATTTATTTGACTGTGACATAACTAGATATAATATATACGGTTAATCTTGTAAGTCAATTTATGCATGCTCCTAGATCATGTTATATAAAGGTTGTCGATAGGAAACTCAATATCTGATTTCTATAACTGTCAATACTAATATTATTGGTTATTTTGATGCTAACTGGGCATTTAGTCCAACTGATAAGAGGTCCACAACCGGCTATTGAACATTGGTCGGAGGAAACTAA